TTAGGGAAATGCAAATTAAAACCACTTTAAGATTTCATCTTACCCCAGTCAGACTGGCTAAGATCAAGAAAACAAATGATACCAAATGTTGGAGAGGATGTGGGGAAAGGGGAACACTTATCCATTGCTGGTGGGGCTGCAAACTAGTTCTTCTTTTTTAATTTATAATTCAATCAGGAAAACCCTCACATTTGTCACCACATAGCATCGAGCTTCCTTGCCTCTGGGGCTCCAAGGAAGGTCCCACCATCCTTGTAAGTTGAGTTGGGTGAGTTGGGGTGAAGGCAGTCTGACTGACCCCTCAGCTGCTGTGCCTGTCATTGGCTTTTGGAGACGAAGAAACTGAGATTCAGAAGTTCTATGACCTGTCCAAGCCCTCCCCACTTGGGATTAAAACCCATCCCTGAACACCATTCTGGTTGCTCAATAGAATAAAATACACCAAAACAAAGTTCTCTGGCCCTAGAAAAGGTTTCTCGGCAGAAACCCAGCATGCTTCCCTTCTGCTTTTCCCCTGAGTTACTGCAGTTCTTTCTGAGCTGCATTGTCCTAAAACATTTTCAAAAAGTTCATTCCCCACTGACCCTGTCCAAATGTCAAAGGCCAAGAACTCTTGCCCTCAAGATTCTTTTGTAGGAATTTGGAAAGAGGGGACACCTTTGCACATCAGTTGTCTGGTCTTTTTGGTACCTAGCGTAAAATAAGGGCTGCATCCCAGGTGAGAGTGAGGGAGGAGAGCGCTGCCTTGGACGGTGAGAAGGTGCTCTGGGGAATGTCCAGAGCAGAGCTCTAAGTCATGGGCAATGGAGAGTTAAGTGGGAGAGCACTCCTGACAGCAGCTGGCCACGCACCCTGGTTTGTAGGGTGGACACTCCCAGTGGGTTGTCCTGAGAGCCAAGCAGCTTGTCTAGACATGCAAAGCAGAGCATGTGTGTTTTTGGAGCTGGCTGGGAGTTGCTGGAGGCCTTCCCTTCTTACAGCAGGGCCTGTAGCACATAGTAGGCCACTGGGTCTGTGCTCAGAACAGGGTGCAGGTACAGAGGAAGGCTGGCACATCTCTTAGCAAACAGATTGCTTTGATTTTGCTAGTTTTCTCAATCTTTAGCATGTAACCTAACATTTGAATATGCTTTCATTTATACTTAACAGTTTCCGATGTGTGAAACGTACATGAAATTGCATCGGTATGTGAGACAGACTTGAAGAATTTGAGAAGTTTTTCCTCTCTTTTTTTTGAGTGTAGTGGGAATATACATAGTGCCAAAGTTTACCCCAAATCACCAAAATGGCTATCTCTCCCCCTTTCTAGGCAGCTCTCCTGAACCAAGGAGGCCACCATGATGGGGCTGAGTTGAGTGTGGGTGCCTTACTGACCAACTTGCTAACACTGCTGCTTTTGTTTCCAGTCCCAATGTATGTGCTGTGCAGAAGGTCATTGGCACCAACAAGAAGTACTTTACCAACTGCAAGCAGTGGTACCAGAGGAAAATCTGCGGCAAGCCAACGTGAGTATCTGTAGCTACCCACAACTACCAGCTATATGCCAGCTGCAGGTGCCCTGGGCCAGCCAGCTATGGAAAAGGTCAGACTGCTCAGAGAGCCATGAGGAGGATGTATAGACAGGCAAGTCAGGGAATGTATGTGGGGAGTGGCATTTTTAGGAAGCTGACCATTTGTGTTTTACTTTTTTTTTTTTTTGGTCTTTTTGAAGCAGGGTCTCCCCGTGGCCCCAGCTGTCCTGGAACTCACTATGTAGACCAGGTTGGCCTTGAACTTACAGAGATCCACCTGCCTCTGCCTCTCAAGTGCTGGGACTACAGGCATGCACCACCACACCCGTGTTTTACATTTTTAAGGCTACTGACAAGATGTGGAAATGCTTATCAGGGCTGGTTGGGATTATAAGCAGCATAAAAGTGTGTGTGGGGGTGTGTGTGTATGGGTGTGTCTGTCTGTCTGTGTGGGCATGAATGTTTCTCTCAACCTCCACTAAACATTACAAATCTTCAGAGGAAAAGCTATCAACATGTGACTTTGGGAAAGAAAAGCAGTTGGTGAACTTACCCAAAGATCACCCCTGCTCTGCAGGTCCCAAGGTAAACACCTCAAAAAGACAGGATGCCTAGAAATATGCACATGAGGAGACAACATAGCAGGCTAAGACCCAGGCTCAGACTCCAGATCCTGCTTCTGCCACTTACTTGAGGAAGGTTCATCTTTTGAATCCTCAGTTGCCTCATCTACAAAATGGAGCTAGCCAAAGGGTCTGCTGTTGTTATGAGGGTTGAATGAACTAATGTGCATAAAAGGATGAATACTGTGCCCAGTACATAGCAACTACTCACTGAATGCTCATTTTCACCCCAGAATTTGTGAGTCTAGACCACACATACTAAAGGAAGGGGGTCCACAGAGTGTGGTGGTCGCAGTAGGGCTTGTGGCTGCGTCTCTGGGTATGGAGGGAGGTGACCTTCACGTTCACTCCCTGGCTGCCTGGTGGAAACAGTATGCATGTTTTAACAGCATTCTGTAAACCTAATCGACTTTGGCACTGACTGTCAACAGACCTCAAAGTTGGCTCTGTCCTGCAGAAGAGAGGATGTGCCATGCAAAAACCTCCCGAGCCACTTGTGGGAGCCTGGTCTCCTCTTTTCTGCAGAATGGGAAGATTTTCCTAAATGTGTTCCAGTGTTAGAGGTTTTTAAATTTATTGCTTGTGATGTTGCTTTCAACCAACTGTCTCCTCCAACTTAATGAACAGAAGGAAGGAAAATGCAATTTCCTTAACTTGTTCATGGAAATAAATATCACAGTGTGTGACTCTGATTGTGTTAGGCAGTCATCCATCCTGGTCTCAGTCCAGAGAAACTAGGAACAGGGCAGAGCTGGAGAGAGACCAGCAGCTCTCTGGGAACCTGTGTGCACAGTCCACAGCAGCTGGCTTCCCGCCGAGTGAGAGTTGCATGAGCTAGGACACCTCCCAGGTTCAGTGAACAGATGCTCAGCAGTAATTTTTTTGCTGTTTTGAACAAAAAGAGATTATGCAAATGCGATATTGAACATCGTTCCAGGATACCCAGGTTTAAAAACAACACCTTCAGTACTGATGAAGACTTAGATGTGCTTATAGGATCTACTCAAACAACTAATTGCTTAACTAAACACAAATCAGAGCTCACATAATTGCTTCTTGGAAGATGACCAAAGTGCTGATGCCAGGCAAGCAGGTCTGCATGTCAGAGCACCAAGTTTCAGAGATCCACCTTTTGATTCGTTCAGGTGTCTCTAAAACTGGGACTCATCTGTGATGGTAAACTGGCCACAGGGTGTCAGTTACTGTTTTAGATGTCCTACGCTATAGCATTTGACCGAGGAATTCATGGCTTGATAGCATTCCTGGACAACTCCCAGATGGATACTGGTTGACAGTGAGTTGCATTGGTTTATTGACTTTTCCTGCCCAGTCTTTCTCTGTGTGCCAGGATGAGGCACAAACCGCAGGGACGTGTGCTGACAACATGCTCCTGGCAATCGAGTTCCCCTCTAGCTTGGGTTTGTTTTCAAGAGTACTGTGAGATAATGAAGCAGCCTTCTCACCTTGATGAGTGCAGAGGGGACCCCAGCTCCAAGAAGAGAAAATGTGTGAGGCTGTGATGGGAAGATGATGTTTATAGTGGGGTCAGACAAGGCCCAGTGCAATCCCAAATACGACTTTGTCTCACAAAGCCAAGGAGAAAGATATTCACACCCAACTCTTGAACATGGCTGTTGCTTTGGGCGGCCTTACAAAAGAGGAAGTGAGGAGACAAAAACATGAGCTGATTTAAAAAAAAAGAAAAAACTTCATGATCCAGGACAAGAGAGACTCTCCCAGAATGTCATGTGCAGCCTCAGGAAGGTGGGGCTGACTTGGAAGAGACCCAGGGGACCGAGAGAGGAAGAGGAAGAGGCGGACTCATCTCTGTTGTCTCCGAGGAACAAGAGCAGCTTTGTGGGACTCTGCTTTGCCCAGGATGGAGGCTTCTAAGGAAGCAGCCACCTAACCACCACGTATAGCCACTATCAAGTGCCAGGTGGGGGAGCTGCACTGGCTGGGGTTGATGTCATCCTGGAGACTGAGTCCCTAGCTGTGTTTATGTGGATGAAGACTGGGAGCTAAAAGTATGGTGGTTGGAGCAGAGGACTGTGTTGATGTGGGGCCAGCATATGCACTGGGCATTTTCTCAGCAAATTTCCAGGGAGGAAGCTGTAGCAGAAACATATATTGAGGTGAAAGGGAACAAATGTCGTGGATCTGGGAGCAGCACAGATCCTCCAGGGGCCTGAGACCAGAAGGGAATTTTGATTCTGAAAGCTGAAAGTGGGCACCAAGCACCGAGGTAAAGATCTTGTCATGTGAGGTCACACACAGGGACAAACTTGTGAGACGGGGCCTGGAGTCACCTGCTTTCTGCAGTAGGCTCTGGATGCCACCACTGCCTAGAGGGTAGGGGATGGCCTGGCTATGCTCCAGTCCTCATCAGTGGAGCTCCAGTGACAGCTTTTCTACAGTTCCAAGGAAGGAAGAACCTGAGGCTTCAGTGCTGTGTGTTGAAGCACCGAAATCTGTCACCAAGGTTTATTGCAGGGCATGATTACTTGGGCCCCTGTTTGGTGGGCTTGAGTGAATTCTGTTACTTAGAAGGCCACTTCAGCTTTTATTTCAGATCTGCAGAGCACCAGAGAGGCACAAAGGCTAATGAGACAGAAACTTGTAGGTGGAAGACAGTAGCTCGCTCTGTGATTTCAGGTCCTGGTTTGATTGGGAACTAGAAAATATATATGTGTGTGTGTGTGTGTGTGTGTGTGTGTGTGTGTGTGTGTTGTGAGACCTGAGGGAAACCTGCTGCTTCTCCACTGGCCTCTTTTGTGTGAGCACAAGGGAGATGGAGGGAGCTGACATAATAGTGATGTCACAGTCCTGGCCAGAGCTTCAACATCCTAAAGATGGCATAGATGGACCAGTGTGGGAGCCAGCAGGTGGGTGGTGGTGGCAGTCTATTAAAGAGTACAGTATGATACACAGCCCCAAAGCCGTTCTCTGCAGCTAAGATGAGCTGCCAAGACACTGTTTCTCTAGCGACCATTGTTGCTCTGCCTAGCAGCTGCCTGCATTCAGAGACTGGACATCTCCTGAGCCAGCTGGGACATGGTGGTGCCTTCCCATCAGCCAGCAGGTTTACTTCTAGTGACTGTTGGTCTATGCAGAGAGCCATCTGACATAAAGCTGGAAAAAATCACTCGTTTCCTCTCTTTCCCACATTCCTTAATCCTAGTCCCAAGAGGAGAATAATGAGGGTGGTAAGGAGCCATCTGTGCTACTCCCAGAGCCGCACCTGCTTCAGGTTCTGTGTGCAGCCAGCTGGGACCCCATCAATAACCTATAGGATGATAGAGATTGGGCACACACCAAAGACCCTGTGAGACACTGCTTCCTAAGGTCCTAGGTCCAGACGACTGTCCTACCAATGAGGAGTCTGCTTAGCTGGTGTGGAGTTTTCTTCTGTTGAGAACTTGCATGAGCCCGGTACCGTGTGGGGTAATGATCTCCCAAAGATGCCCCCAGCCTAATCTGAAAACCTATAAATATGTTTCCTCATCTGGAAAAGGGACTTTGCAGAAATGACTAAGGCGAGGATCTGACAGCAAGAGATGAACCTGCATGATTTAGGGTCTTGGCAAAAGGGAAGTGTAGAAGTAGAGTCAGAAAAGAGGGCATGCTGGTGAAATATGAAGCTGGAGTGATGCTGCCACCAGCCAAGGGATGTAGCAGCCTCCAGAAGCTGAAAAGGGGGCAGTGGGTTGCCCTCTTGGCTGCAGAAGGAACACGGCCTTCGATTTCAGCCCCATGATGCTGATTTCTGACTCTAACCTTCAGAGCTGTAATATGATAAATTTGTAATATTTTAGCCACTGAATGTGTGGCAATTTGTCACAATAAGCTATAAGAAACCAATACAACCCTCTGTACTGAGTTTATTGATATCACAACGTCATTTAACCAGTGGTTTCACATAGGGTATTACTTCTATGAAGTTTATAGTATTATATTATGTAATAACTTAGCTTCCATATTAACATTTCTGCTAGGAGTGTTTTTGCTTTCATTTGTTTCAGAAGGAGCTCTGCCCTGAGCACTTAGAAGACAATTAAGTACTGTATCTGTTAAGTATGCCTTGAATGTATACTAGTTCAGTGCTCATGGTCATTTTATGATCTAATAGTGTGATTATTAGCCCATTTACAGACAGGAACATTGAGGCTCTGGAAGCCTAAGCATCCTATTCAGTCATCAACTGGGAAATAGGGAGGTCTGACTACCATCCCAGAGAGAATCAAGTCAGGCAGCTAGTGTCAACAACACAGCAGGTGCCCAACTGAGCAGATGGGGGCCTATGTGGGCTGCTCCAAGTCTCTGCAGCCCCAGGCCTATAGACATGGGCCTTAGAAACAAATCCTCTTGGAGTTAGAGGAGCCCTTGGGACACAATTGCCAATCACCTTCCAGTTGCTGACCATAAGTCTGGGGGTCATTGTGACCTCTGATGCAAGGGGGCACCACAGAACCTTTCATTAGACAGTGGGGATGGGAACTGGACAGATGCAGTCAGCATCCAGCAGCCACCAAAATGCCTTCCCATCCTCACATACAGTAAATGACACCAAACATGGCCATCTTTTGAAGTCTTGTCCCTCCCTGGGCTCTGAAAACTATAGAGACAGAGGCCCTTACTGGGGTACAGTTGTTTAGGGAAAGCTGTGATTTTCTACTGAGGACCTCAAGAATCAGCCCAGCCCTTGTTCAAGACCAGGTATGCAGAAAATGAGCCACTTAGCAGTCTGTGGGCCATGCCAATGTCTAGATCTTGGGAAGGATGGCACAATGCATGGTTTACTCTGTCATACAGACCAAGTTCAGTCCCCACTCCTTGCTCCATCTCTCCTTGAGTCTAGTAAAGCCCATCACTTGCAACCAGAACAGCAGCCAGAGTCATTCTGTACGTTTGAGGGTGATGGCTTTAAGTCTATATTGAGAAAGAAACTTCAGTTTTCACATTCAACTATTGCAAATAGTGTACTAATTAGTGAGCGCTTCTGGAGCTACGAATTTGAACACAAAGAAAACAAGAAAATGTCAGGTCAGCACTACGGATACTTCGTTATGAGATAATCTGTTGCACTCGCCCTGAGAAGAAGAATTTCATAGGTTAATTAATTGGTCTTATAGCTAAGTGCTTCCACTGCTTAAATCCCCAGCCCCCCGAAAAAAAAATTTCTCCCCATCTAACCTGAGTGAGAACGTTAGGAATAGAGGAGAGTGTCTATCCCACACTTTGACCTTGGGGTAACACTGTCTTTTTACCCTCCTGCTTAAAAGGCCTTTCCAATTCAGACCCTTTCCTTCATTATCCTTCTGGCCTGAGAAGCTGGAACAAGATATTTAGTAGCTCATTGGCCTACAGTATGTGCTTTTTCCAAGCTGAGGTTTTTACTTGCCAGACTGTATGTATGGCCAAGCAGAAGCCTTTAATCAAAACAGCTGGACTGAATGAGGCAAGATGCCAAACACACAGCCATTTCTGTGTGGACAGGAGGCACCCATAGTTTCCAGCTTTATCTGCTTGGGTCCCAGAGAGGTGGCACCACTTTCAAGCACTGTGTTCACAGAGCCTGTGTTCTATGTAGATAGAAACACTGGGCACAGGGAGGGTGGGACAGGCCACTGTGGAGATTGCCAGCTCAAGGAGTTCTGGTCAAGATGGCCCCAATGAACTGTTTCCTCCAATTGCAATCTACAGTTGCCCTGCAGACTGGTTCTGATTAGGGCTTATGTTGTCTGGACAGCTGGGAGCCTGGAGCCTTCTAGCTGCAGAGCCTTCTCAGCCCACAAGGCTGTTCTCGGATAAAGGCTATGCCTATACCTGCAGTCCTGCAGAAAGAGCAATGCCTGGCTGGGCTGCAGGAAGAACCTGGGAAGCAGAGGTTCCCGGAGCAAGAGGTTTAGGAGAAAGCCTCCCAGGATAGAGCTGTCCTGGGTTCACCAGCACAAAGTCTTTGTCTGGAGGAGGCATTGCATGCAGCCTTGGAGATTGAACCTCTGCTGTGCTGAGTATCGTGATGTGGGAGCCATCTGCGTGTGACAGCAGGACACTGTCCAGCCCCTGTAAGGGCCAAGTGCAGAGAACCCACCAGAGAGGCACAGGGAAGGCTGTCAAGGCTCCACCTTGAGCAATCAAGAAACAACACTGCCAAGTCAGTCTGATTTCTCCAAATGAGTTCACAGTCAAGAGCAATGGTCAAAGAGCTGGCTTAGATCAAATGAGAGAAGAGTCCCTGAGATGCCCCTGCCTGCTGAGGCTCTAAGGTGCCTTGCCCACCAGTCCCACAGCTTGCCTTCTGACACCATCCTAAGTTGCCCTGTCTGTCTGCAACTGTTCTGCTCAGGTCTGTCCCTCACCAGCCCCCCAGCTTCCCACTTCTCCCATGTCATTCTCTACTCCTCCTCTACACATGTGTGCACATATGTTCACACACTTTGGAGAAATCATTGAAATCCTGGTGAGGCCACCTGAGCTGAGCTGCCCTGTGATTTGCAGGGAGCAGAGTAGACAGAAGCTACCTTTTGGGGAGCAGTGTTTGGATAGTAGAACTGGGAGCTCAAAGCCATAGAACATGAGGTAGCTCTGTGCACACAGGGGCCCCAGAGACAACTTTGTGGGAAGACAGTTCTTCCAAATGCTTCTCCGACTCTGTAGAATTCCACATTGACATTTTTGGAAAGTAACTAATTTGGGGCGGGAGCTTAACCTAATTCACCTTCCCAACTGCAAACAGAGAACCTGACATTGATTGATTGATTAACTGATTGTTTGATTGATTGATTTTACACACACACACACACACACACACACACACACACACACGTGAATGCACGCACTCATGCACACACAGATGCCCTGGTATGTGGTCAGAGAACAACCCACCAGAGTCGGTGCTTTCTTTACACCGTGTAGAGGCGCTGAGGATTCAACTCAGGTCTTCAAGCTTGATGGCATAGGCACCTACCTGAGGAACCATCCTGTCCCTGAGCCCTAGTATTTGTCAGAGAAAGCCTGAGAATCCTGTGCATGAATGGCCCTGGTACTGTGGGCTTAAGGTTTGGGGAACTCCCTGTATTTAGCTAGGGGAGGTTGGCCGGCACTGCCTTCCATGAGAGTGCTTATCCGTCCCCTAGAAATCACTCAGCTGACTAGAACTATGAGTGTGAGGTTGGAAGGAGCAGTAGAGATCATCTTTAATGGTGCCCAACTTTGTAGACCTGGAAACTGAGACCAAAAAGAGAAGTGAGCCTTTGAAGCTGGTCTGCTAGTTACAGACAGAGCGAGTCTTCTGTCTAGGACTTTTTCTTACACCACTCTGCCTTTGCTAGTTACGCATCAGTCAGTTCTCACTTTGAGAGATGACTTTACATTCTGAGAATAACATTGTGGGTTGGTCAGGGTCAGTCCTGAGGTCATAGTCTGTTTAGCTCACAGATATAAGGATTCAAGGATAGAAAGGAACAGGCGGGAGGCAGGGTGGAGAAAAGGAAGAGGAAGAAGCAAGAGGATGAAGAGGGCAGAGCATAGAAGAGCGTTCAGCTCGTTCCTCAATCATCTGGGGGAGGCATTTCTAGCCAAGTGACACTGGCAGCTCCTTGGTAGTCAGAACCCGAAACATGCCCTGGGAACCAGATGAACCAGCCTTCGTCTTCACTTAGCTAAGTCTTCCCTGAACTGATTCCAAATGAATTCACAAGAGCCAGATGTGGTACATGGAGGGCAGCCTCCTGGGGGAAGGGAGATACAAAGCCACATTCCCTCTCCATCTGCCTCTCTTCTGATGATGTCATCCTATGTGAACAAGTCTGATAGAACCCACACATAAGAAAGAAGGGGGAGAAAACTGGGCTGCTTGCTTTTGACTCCAGGCCTTGGGAGGAGGATTGCTTACCTGTGGGTAGCCTTCAGCACGTGGGGGACTTTAGGCAAGTCTTCAGCACGTGGGTTTGACTTTAGGCAAGTCTTAGGGATACCCTTCCAGAACTCTCCTTTCCTTAGAATGCTATTTGAAACTCTTGACTTTGGGGCCTCCCGAGTACCAGGCTAGCTGAGGCTTTGTCTGTCAGACCTCCAGGCAGCAGGCAGTGTCCCACAATGGGCTCCTCTGAGGAAGGAGGATAAAGTCTTTACTTTTCTGAACAAATGATTTCCAAGTGCTCTCTGCTCCCCATTCATGTTCATCTGGTGATAATGGCCGCCTTCTGGAAGGACAATGGGAAAGTTGAAGGGTAAGGGTCAATGAGGAATACATTATTAAATACTCATTTGGATATTTCCAACTTAGAACCGTAAACATGTTATTACGTTTTTAATTTCAGTAAGTAGAAAAGCGAGCATCTTCATTAAGAACTGCTTTGTTTTCGTTCCAAACTCGATTTGTAAAAACTGAGAACACAGAATGATCATCCATACCTCATCCGTTGAATTACTAAATGATCATTCTGGAAGAGCATGAGAGATACAGGCCAGCAAGCCTGCCTGCACTATGCACCATATATTTCACTCATGAAGATGCTAAGCCCCAGAAAGGAGATGAAATGCTCCGGGTGAGGCAGGCACAGAGCAAGGATTCTCTGATCCTCCCAGCTGCCTTTTCATAGCACCAACCGTCAGGTTTCCTGTGCGTTAGTGGTGGAGAACAGTTCTGGGTGAGTTGTGTTTCTAATTGTGCCATTGAAGGCGCTGCCTTCATCCAGTTTCTTGGTTGACTGCATATGTTGGCAACCATCAGAAACTTTCTTACAAGACTGAGGAGTGAGAAGCTCCTGGCCACTGAGAAGCACAGTCATGATCTAGCACATAATGTTCTGAGGAGGATGCTGTGCCTGTCATCGCTTCTTCTTGACCCTCTGGCAGTTCTGCCTGGAGAGAGCCCAAGAGGAAGAGTATGTGTCACCCAACACACTCATGTGCCTGTCTTTACAGAGTCATCAGCTACGAGTGTTGTCCTGGATATGAAAAGGTCCCAGGAGAGAAAGGCTGCCCAGCAGGTAAATGAGCCAGGACATGCCTGTGGGTGGGGGGAACAGAAGGTGAGCTAGGAGAAAAGAGTACCACACAAAAAGCAGCAGAGGCAGAGCAGGGTGGGTCATGTGGGATGGGTTGGCAGTCTCCCATGGGCTCACTGGCTCCGTGTGGTAGCAGAGGATGGGGGCTGGAAATGACACACCTCCTGGGCTACCCCAGACTCTCAGCAAGCTAGTAGAGAAAAGCCAGCTCTGGTCTTCTCAGTTTAGGCCTTGTCATCTGTGGCTGGAAGTGATTCTTAGAGCGTTCAACAGGGCTGGCCTGTCAGCCCATTGGTTTCCCATGAGCCCTGCTGGAAATCAGATGAAGTAGCCTAGTCTCTGTAGGAACTGGGTGTAGCAAGCCACCAATCCCTCATTCTGCATCTAAACTTGGCCTCTGGCGTGGGGCAGGAGGAGAACAACAGGCTGGGTGGGCTTATTCACAGGCAGCAAAAGGGAACCATGAACGGACACATGAAGGTACAGTGCACATGATATTGTGAATTTTATCACCACCTTTTCTTTAGTGCCACAATGAAGACTATGAACAGAAACTTACAAGGATTCATACCAAGGTTATGATGATGTGATTAGTATGATAAGGGCCACGGCATTGCTGACCCACGGAAAGGCAGGCAGAGGATGAAATGGGATAAGGAGGTTGGCCTATAGGGGGACTCAACTTTGGTATCCTAGTTTCAGATCTTTAAAAATGAACATTAAGCTGGGTGTGGTGGCACACATCTGTAATTCCAGCACCCAGGAAGCTGAGTTAGGAGGATCAACGTGAGTTCAAGGCTAACCTGGGGCTACATAGTGATATTGAAGCCAGTTTGGGTTATATAAAAAGGCTGTCTTATAAAAAGCCAATAAATGACCATTCTACTTGATGTCTAACAAGGCCTTTTTCAACTGCAGGCTGATTTGTGGACAGAATATTCTAGTTCCTGAAAAATGTACAAAATACTTCAAATATTTATAGTTCTTTCCCTAAAGCTGTTAGGGAACTATTTGGAATGACTAAATCTATAAAACTAGTTTGTAAGTATGATGCCTATTTTATCTAAATGCCTAGAAACAAAAGCTTTGCTCTACTGCATAGGGAGGCATTTGGTTTACTGGGTTATTCTAAGAAACGTGAGTTTTAAGCATCCTCTTCAATAGGTGTCTGGGCTTTTCCATCCACTTCCTTGTCCCTTTTTGTCTGCAGCTGTACCCACTGTCCTCTCTGATGAGGAAGCAGGGACAGGTGTGTCCGGTTAGGATCGACTCCAGTGCATCCCTCCTCTATCCTTCCCCCCTGCAGCCCTTCCACTCTCAAACCTTTACGAGACCCTGGGAGTTGTTGGATCGACCACCACGCAGCTGTACACAGACCGCACAGAGAAGCTGAGGCCTGAGATGGAGGGGCCTGGCAGCTTCACCATCTTCGCCCCTAGCAATGAAGCCTGGGCTTCCTTGCCAGCGGTGAGAGGAGCTCCTGCCCAGGGCTCTCTTCTTGGGAACTGCCTTTCTCCTGAGGGCTGGGGTCCCACAAGCAATGCGATTCTGTAGTGACCTCCTGCTGTTTCAGGTAAAGCTAAAGCAGCCCCCCCCAAGGTGTCTTCCAATGTCCCAACCCACAGATGCTCACTAAGGAGGGGATCCTTGTCAAGAGAGGTCTAGGTCCACTTGAGGCTTAGGAAATAAGTTTTCCACAGGAGCAGGGACCTATCCCTGGAGCATGGGAGCTGCAGCTTCCTAACTCACAAGGTCTTTCCTTCTAGGAAGTGCTGGACTCCCTGGTGAGCAATGTCAACATTGAGCTGCTCAATGCTCTACGCTACCACATGGTGGACAGGCGGGTCCTGACAGATGAGCTGAAGCACGGCATGGCTCTCACCTCCATGTACCAGAACTCCAACATCCAGATCCATCACTATCCTAACGGGGTAGGGACATCCCCAGTCACCCAGCACTGCCCCTCCATCCACAGCGAACTCATTTCTGGCCCATACAGGGTGTTGCTTTCTAGGGTTCTGTCTTACAGTGTGATAAGTTGTAGTCAGCCCATAGCCTCCTGGGTGTTCTCTGTAGGTCCTCCCACTTCACAAGGCCACGTTCTGCCTCTGACTGTGGGAGCTCTATTTTGCCCTCCTGGGAACTCTGCCCCTGTGTTAACCGCTTGTCCTTGCTTCCTCTCTGGGCAGATTGTAACAGTTAACTGTGCCCGGCTGCTGAAAGCTGACCACCATGCAACCAATGGGGTGGTGCACCTCATTGACAAGGTCATCTCCACCATCACCAACAACATCCAGCAGATCATCGAGATTGAGGACACCTTTGAGACCCTTCGGGTGAGAGACTGCTTTGGTAGAGGCCCAGGCTGGGGACAGGTGATCTCCCAAAAGGGACCTGGCAGGATCACTTCTTCTGGAGGAGCTGAGGATGTCTCACGTGGGGAAACATGGAGAAAGTGCTAACCAGTGCTGAGCTCTGCCCACCCTTTACAACATGACTCTGTCCTAAAGCTTTCTTTTCTTTGGTTCCTCTGGATAATCCAGTAGTCTGTGGTGGCAGCAGGACACGGTTCTCTGAGCCTTAGGCCTGAACTGTGAAGTCCAGAAATGAGAAGGCCCTCCTTCCCACGTGGGGCACTATTATAAATGACCTGTCAGCCTGCATGATGCTTCTGAACCACTTGGGTTCCCATACCCATGTTTCCTTGGAACCTAGACCTGGCAGAAAAGCCACCAGTGTGGACTCAGGAGTCTAGACTCTGACTCCTGCATTGGCCCCTGAGTGCTCAGAGGCGTAAGAAGACTGTTTCTTTCTTCCTATCTGCCATTCTCAGCAGGCATTCTGACAACTGGAAGGGCAATTGGGTGTTCCTGTGGGCAGCATCCACACAGGAGGAAGTGAACGCAGGCTGCCCTGTCAGGGTTTTTGCCTGCTTCAAGGAGAACTTCCTAACCACAAAGTACACAAGTGGGAGTGGGGCAGTCCCTCCCTGGAGATCTCCAACACAGAGACAAACATGCTTTAGCGCTGGCACAGATGGGCCTCGGTGTTCAGGAGAACTCTTAGCTGGCTGCAGCGGACCTGGGGAGCCTGGCTCTCTCTCTTCTCCCTGCCTCTCTTTTGGGTCTTCAATATTACCCCACACTTGACAGCACATGCTTTAATTAACAGTACTTAGTCCCATCGAGCAGTTTCCTCTCACTATTAAGGTTGACAGGTACTGTTTTGTGTTCTTCCCCTTTGACCCTCCATAGTACCCATCTTTCCTTCTAGCGTGTGTTTCTTAAGCCCCTGCCATTTCCCAGTATCGTTCTCTATGTGCCCAGGGATAGAGGGAGCAAAGCAGCTAACAGTCTTTCTGGGGAGTCAGACAAGACACTAGCAAGGCAGCACAACGTGATCAGCATGGGGAAATCATCGGGTGCATGGTAGACAGTGTAGCTGGGGAGGGAGGGAGGGCCGGGGAAGGCCTCTTTGGAAGCGAGGACTGAAGGAAAACAGCACATTCTGCACAAGCCCAGAGCAGAGGTTCTGCTACTGGAGGGATGCTCAGAGGCAGCTCAGCATGGGGGACGTCTGTTGACTGAAGAGCCCTAGGCAGGCAGAAGGGGAGAGGAGCAGCAGGAGGGTCCTTCTAGGCCTTACAGACCAGGTGGAGGAGGCTGTTGTCATCTGAGAACCAAGAAGCAGCTCATGTTGTTAGATCCTTCTCACTGGGTGTAGAGCATGGGTCATATGGTATTTACGCTCCACAGGCTCTATCAGTGACCACTAATAGCCCTGGGATAACAGCTGGGAAGAGGGGAGCAACCCAGACAGGCTCACTTTTATCTGGGGACCCAGGTGAGGAGAAATGACATTTTGGTGAAGGTTTGAAGGAGTCGAAGAAGCAGAGATGAAGGAGGCCTGGAGGTGGGAAGGAGTGAAGTACATTCAGTAGCTGAAAAATGGCCATCATGGCTAGAGCACAGGCCAGGGCCCATGGAGTCCATAGCAAGGTAGAACTTCGCTCTGATTTTGGCTTCTCTCAGAGGCTTGGGTCCCTGGGGAGAACTACTCAGCAGTGTGTCCATCTTGCCAGGGAGGGCCCAGGGAGCACTCATCCTCCCTCCTCCCCACAGGCCGCTGTGGCTGCATCTGGACTCAACACCCTACTGGAAGGTGAAGGCCAGTTCACACTCTTGGCCCCAACCAATGAGGCCTTTGAGAAGATCCCTGCTGAGACCTTGAACCGGATCCTAGGTGACCCGGAGGCCCTGAAAGGTGAGCATACTCAACTTCTGTTGCTGCCTCCCTCCATGCAGCAGCAGGACTGAGCTCTTCCTTACTCTAATGCCGCAACTCTCACGACATCCACTGCAACAGTGGTTTGTGTTGCTCCCAGCAGCCATGTCTCTATGGACACCAGAGCAGAGCCCCACCTGTCTCTCAAGCAAGCCCAGAGTCCCATCACCTTAGACTAGGTCTGAAGAGGGAGGCAGCACTGGAGAGGCCAAGCTGACTCTGGCCAGATACAGGGAGAGAAAAGCTGGAGTGGCCGAAGCTGTCAGGTGGATGTGTGAAGCTTGAGCAGCTTGGAGTGTGGTGTGTGAGTGGCATCCTTCAAGTGGAGTCAGGATGGTGACCCTGTGCGTCTTCCTCTGTCTGGCCAGAGGCCTCATGGGCAATTCAAAATGATAGGAATCAGTAGTGGTCAGCTCAATTCCCATTGCTTTTTCCATCCTCTGAATGCTAAGTTAGGTGCTGGAGGAAAGGAAAGGAGCAGGCAGGGAAGGGAGACTAGGAGGGGGTAGGTGCACCCTGCCCCCACCCAGCCCCTTTCAGCTCTGTGACCTCTGAAGGCAGCGGCTCTAAGCTGCCCAATGAACCACACCTGGAAAGAGGGCAGCGCTCAAGCTGTGTACCCCAGTCACACTCTTCCTCCTAAATGCTGTCGAGGTGTGACTTCATTTCTTTTGAATTGATTAAACCCACCTTAGCAATGTACTACATGAGATGTCTAATATGTTACAGCCAGCGTATGAGTTCAAAATGTTCACCTGGCCAGGTAGGGCTAGGAAAGGGCGCATTTCTGAAAGCACAGATGGAACCTATTTTCTGTCCTGATGAGTGGGAAGCTTTGAATACCTGCTCTGGGCTGGGAAGTGGGGCTCCAAAGGGAGGACAGTCAGAGCTGTGCCTTCGAGGAAGTTAAAGCCTGGTGTGTGGCAGGCATCAAGACCAGTGTTTGAGATGTGCTGTGGCCAGTGCAGTGAGGGAAAGCAGGCGTGGCCCACAGCCTCAGGCGCTGAAGGCTTCCTGGAAGAGGTATGAGTTTCATCTCAGCAAATTTTACTTCCTATTACAGCTATGTTCCTCATTGTGTTAGTCACAACACTTGAAACAAGCCATATATAAAGAGAAAAGACTTCTTTTGATTCATAGCCTTAGATGTTTTAGTTAATGGCCAGTTAGCCCCACAGTTTGGGGGGGTCTGTGACTTTAGGGAAGGAGGAGCTCCATGGCTTAAAGGTCTTGCAGTAGTCCCTACCTTTTAAAGCAGTCCTATCCTGGGAACCATGCTTTAACACATGGGCATTTGAGGAAATTTAGCATCCAAACCATAGCACCCATTAAAAGATCTTTCGTACAGAGCACTTTTTATATGCACAGATACCAGAATCCAATACAGACTCCAAATGCACACCTTTTGCTCTTTTGCTTTGTCCTACTCAATAGCCAGTTTGCTCAAAGCAAGGGGCTCTGGTACTGTGGCTGCAGACTTGAAGGAAGAGGGCCATGTCTACATCAACAGTGTTCTGTTGGTACAAGTGGGTTGGCCGATATGCCAGGAGTAGCCTGACATGTCCCGTTTGAAGCCTGGCTTCTATTCCTGGCATTCTTACCCTCTGAGTGGTCCTGGCAGATTCCCTCCACCCCACGCCAGGGCTTCAGTTTGCTTCTCTAAGAAGCAAGATCCCTCAAAGGCCTCATTTCTAAGGGGTCTTATTGTTGGTTTTAGACAGGGTCTCATCAGGCATGGTGACGCACATCTTTAATCCCAGTACTTGGGAGGCAGAAGCAGGCACATCTCTTTGATATTGAGGCCAGCCTGGTCTATATAGCAAGTTCCAGGCAGGGTCTCAACTCTGTAGCCCAGCCTAGCCTCAAATTCAAGTCACTCCTGCCTCCACTTGGAGGGATTACAAAGACGTGTCACCATGCTTGGATTCCACAGTCTTGCTGTCCTTTCGCTTCCCTCCTCACTGAACTGAGTCAGTCCTGACTTTCCAAAGTCAGTTTCCAGCATTCTGATACCTCTGTGGGCCTCAGAGCTTCCTTCTGACTGTGACAGAGCAGTTTTGGTTCCCACAGTTAAGGATAAACTGAAACTGTTGCCTTTGTGGAGAGACCGTACGACAAAGGACTTTGGTGACAATGGAGAGCCACAGATCAAGAATCTGTGGGCCTAGGGTGGGGGTGGGGCATGTCCTTGACTAGTCCTTGAGGTTCCCTCTATACAGAGGCCATGCATGAATGCCCATGAAAGCCTGCTGGTGGGTGGGGTGGCACTACAGCCCCAGTCTCTGCCCTACCTCTAAAGTTGCACCTGGACAGGTGAGTGAGCTGTGGCTGGGAAAGGCCACACCCATCCTCTAAGACAGGTCCGTGCTTTAGGGTGAGATGGCCAGAACCCAGACAAAGATAGTTCACAGCTATCCTTTGCTGCAGTTTTCATTAGGACCCAATGGTGGGCTCCGTGAAGATTTCCTTTCTCCCCCAAATGAGAATTCACCCTGAAGCCTAGTACTCATGAGCTAAATGGCTGGTGTCTCTCAACTGAGAAGTTTGTCCTCGAGGTTAGAAGACAGTACCAAGTTCTTCTGTTCACTCATGAGGAAGATGAGACACAAGGAGACTAAATGGCTAGGCCAGGACCCCTCAGCCAGCCAATGACCAGGGATGCAAACTCCGGCAGTCTGACTCCAGAGTCTCAGTGGTTTTAAATAGCAGATATGCAAGAGAACGAAATCTGGGTGTGTGGTTCCCCAGCCTCATCTGAAGGTCCTTATCTGAGAAAACAAACTCCTCTACTGTGGATGGGCTGGGAGCTGGTGCCTACAGACAGGCCACTGCAGGCTCTAGACCCATGTCCTGCTCTTCCCCAGACCTACTGAACAACCACATCCTGAAGTCAGCTATGTGTGCTGAGGCCATTGTTGCTGGACTGTCCATGGAGACTCTGGAGGGCACCACACTGGAGGTGGGCTGCAGTGGAGACATGCTCACCATCAATGGGAAAGCTGTCATCTCCAACAAAGACATCTTGGCCACCAACGGTGTGATCCATTTCATTGATGAACTGCTCATCCCCGATTCAGGTAGGCCAGGCCTCCGGGGTCTCCCCTCCCTTCTGCTGTTCCTGGTGATAGGGCCAGAGATATTCGGCAATCTTTTGGGCCATTTTCCTGCCTGGATGCAGTGCACAGCTCTGTACCTCCTATAAACCTGGGGGCTGTTGAAATTGTGATGTCTTGACCTTCAGACATAGACTGCCATGAAGCAGTGGGGAACCTTTTGAAGCACGCGGGGAGGTAGAGACAGCATCTCGGAGCCCTTTCTGATCTGTATGAAGTAGTTGGGCACAAAGGGTCATTTGCTGACCTCAGAGCATTTTTTCTCCCTTACAGTACCCAAGCCACCCCCAGGGCCACTGACCAAGGATGGTCTTTGGTTTGGGTTCCAGTTTAAGAGAATAGGAATCTCCTGGGGGAGGGGTGGGGAACAAAACTCTTCCTATGGAAGTAGTCTTCAGAAGCTAACACAGACCATGCAGCCTCCTCCCAAGAGTCCAACAGGCCCTGACCAAGCCACCCAGGGATCTGGGACAATGCTGGCCTCTGCCAAATGACTCACCCCACCTCCCTGCCAGTTAGGGTTGACACTGGCTTCTGGTGACACAAATGTGATGATCTCCACTGTGTTTAAAGGGCTGGTGACTCACAAGATGATGTCCCACTCTGGAGTGGAGGTTGATGACCTATGCATGCAGCTCTCCTACCCTTTCAACTTCCATTTTCCTTCCTGTAGCCAAGACACTGCTAGAACTGGCTGCAGAGTCAGACGTCTCAACAGCTGTTGACCTCCTCAGACAAGCTGGCCTCAGCACACATCTCTCTGGAAAAGAACACTTGACCTTCCTGGCACCTCTGAATTCGGTTTTCAAAGGTAACGTCGGGGAAAGCACCCTGTTCTCTGTCTCTCAGACAATCACTCCACCCTTGGAACCTTCTACCCACTTTAGTCCAAAGCAGACACCATGGGGTCAGCAAGGAAGGGCATCGCTCTTCCTCTTAGGGCAAAACTCCAAAGAGCCTCAAATTATCCATACCCTTTTTCCACAGAAGATGCAGAATGTTGAGTAATATTGGAACCCCCTCCCCTTACTTTCTCAGTCTTCATTTCAAAATGCAAGGAGGGGTGGGCTTTCTGCTGTGTCTCTCAGAACCCTCCTCATCTCAGGATCCCGTCTCTCTGAACCTGTCCACTCCCACTCTTGCAGATGGCACCCCACACATCGATGCCCAAATGAAGACTTTGCTTCTGAACCATATAGTTAAGGAAAAGCTGGCCTCTAAGTATTTATACCATGGACAGACTCTGGACACACTGGGAGGCAAAAAACTGAGGGTTTTTGTTTATCGTAATGTAAGTCCTGCTTCCTAACTCATACCCCGTCTTTGGCTTAGTTATAAGAAATGGAAATTTATTAGTGTTTTTTAAAAAGTCCTCACATTTGGGGCTGCAAATTAGACTCTACATGCATGTGTGTGTGTGTGTGTGTGTGTGTGTGTGTGTGTGTGTGTAATAGATTACATTAAATTGGGCCAAGGGCAATATAGGGAGATATGGATGGGGATCTAAATATCATCAAATTATATTGTATGAAAATCACAAAACTTCAATCAAAAAGGAGAAAAAAAAGTCTCCAACAAGTAGAGGCTTACATAAGAACCAGCTTCTACAAGGAAGAAGTATTTTTGGAAAATATGCATGATGATAAATGAGATTGTGTAGAAGGATTAGAACCTCGTTTCATGCAGGCTTGGAGAATAAGGCTCAGCCTTCTAACTGAACTGTTAAACAGTGATGCTTGGGACTCAGAGGGATGAACAAGCGGGAGGAGGGATGAAGATTTTGAATCCTTCCGAGCTTGTGTGAAGAGAAGCTCTGTGAAGCTCAGCTGTCCTTGGCTCCAAACTCTCCTGTGACCTCAAACAGGAAGCAAAACCCAGTGTTGCTTCTGCTGAAGCTAAACGGACCATTTGGCCAAAGATGGTCATCAGTGGCCTCCAGTTTGTCTATGTGATCATTGCCAATGAACCCCTGTGAAACTGGCATTCTTAGTGGAGTCTCTGTGTAACTTCCTCAGGGTCTCTTGGCCATCCTTCTTGAGGAAGACCTTTGTGGGTGATGCCATCATCACAGGTGCTAAACAAATCTGGAGGCCCCTGTCTGAGAGGATAGCTGTCTCCCTTTTTTTGCCCCTCTTCTGTGCAGAGCCTGTGCATTGAAAACAGCTGCATTGCTGCCCATGACAAGAGAGGACGGTACGGGACCCTGTTCACCATGGACCGGATGCTGACCCCCCCAATGGGGACTGTTATGGATGTCCTAAAGGGAGACAATCGCTTTAGGTAACCAGTCTCATCCCCAGGTCAGGCTTCTGCCAAGTGTTCACGCTGGACCTCAGGTTTTGTTGAGAGTCCTACCTGTCTAGGGGGTTACCATCCAGGTTTGGGGTATGGAAAGGATGAGGGTCACCTTGAAACCTTAAGTTGGGAAGCAGGGCTCCTGCTGGCAGTGTAGCCCTCATATCTATAGAAGGGGGAGGAGACATTTTTATTACCAAACACAAAGGAAACCTCACTTGCTTTGGAGAGTCCCCAGTGAGCTGAGAGCATGGGGCTTTGAGGACCTGATGAACTTTTTTGTAGCATCTATCTACAGGCAAGTGAAGCCACAGTGTCACTCTGCTTCCTTGTCCTGCTCTCTGTTTCCACTTGCTAATTCACCACTGAGTGCTGTCAGGTCACGTGTTTCCCTGGCACTGCAGTCAGCCACCTGTACAAGGACCTGGGAACTGGAGTCTCCTCAGCTCGGCCTGTCTCTGTGTTGGCCGTGTTAGCTCTCTTCTCTCTTCTCCCTCCTTCCCTCTGGGCTCTTGACTTTCAGCCATTTTTCTGAGTGGAGCATTTATGCTCCGTGAAAAGAAGATGCCAACTGTAGTAGTTCCCCACTCCTGCACGAGGACGGTGTGAAAACCAGCCAGGGATGCATATTCCAGAGGTCTGGGCTCAGTGTCCTCAGATGAGGTACAGCCCTCTTCCACCCACGCACAGGTGAGTGGCATTGTTCTGTATTTATCCACAGCATGCTGGTGGCTGCCATCCAATCCGCAGGGCTGACAGAGACCCTCAACCGGGAAGGGGTCTACACCGTCTTCGCTCCCACAAATGAAGCCTTCCAAGCCATACCTCCAGAAGAACTGAACAAACTCTTGGGTAAAGACGAATTTAAGTAGATAGTTCTTCTTTTCTGAAACAACAATCCACCAGGCTCCCAGGAGGAAACAGCTGGCTCATTACAAAGGACTTGACTCAAGGGATTTAATGATGAGACCATTGTATAAATATATGGACAGGATTAAGGTGACAGCTAAAGGTGATGACAGGCCAGGGCCAGGCTGGCAGCAAGGAGAAAAGGAGGTGGGAAGAGAGCAGGCACCAGGAAGAGCTTGGACGAAGAGCATGGAAAACAGCCAGGACCATTTGCAGTCCTGTCATGACCATGGCAAAGGGGGCCCCTGAGTGTCCCATTCTCCCTCTCCTGCCATGGGCCTCCCTTTTATCTGGGTGATGTTATTCATAGAGGTTTGCTTCTTAAGGCACAGTGACAGGCAGGGGGAATTAGGTAACAATCAGCCTGGTCACGGAAGTATGTTTTCCATTGGTGACCTGTGAGGGATGTGATAGTGAAGCCACTTACCTGTATTAAATGTCCCCAGAGAGAAAAGCTTCCCCTAGGAGCCACTCACAGTCCTGAGAACTTAGCTATGGCTAAGAACTCGTATTTCAGATTACCTCAAATCCTGGCTCTGTGAGTGAGCTCTGGTGAGCTGCTGAACCTCTCTCAGCTTCAGTTTCTTCGTTAGAAAAATGTGGTTGTCAAGAGTCCTGGCTCATTACCTTGTAGATTGAAAGGGATGCAGCGTGTGCAGCAGGGCATGATGCTCTGAAGGCCTGGGCTTTAGCTCTGATGCTCACTCACCCTCTCTCCCAGCAAGGTGAGTCAGCAACAGAAGAGAGGGTGAGAAAGGACCTCAGCCACCCTTAGGACACACTGTTTACACCTTCCTTCCTGTAGGAGAGTAGAAGGCTCAGGTTGCAGTCAGCAGTGAGCTAAATTTGTGTCCTGTTTAATTCTCTTTATTGCTAAGTGGATGCCTGTGTCTGTGATGCTGACGTAGGTTCCTGAGAAGAGGGGAGAAGTTCATGCTGAACATAAACTTTCCATCCCCTCTCACCCCTGCAAAGATGGAATAGTCCCCGGGTGGCCCACGCCTGCTCAAATTCCCTTGTTTTCAGTTGTGTGAAAGCAGAGGAGGGGTGTGGGGAAAGCTTCCAAAACAGCCCCCTAAGGCCTGTGAGCAGGGTAGATGACACTGGGAGAGGGAGGGTGGCCCAGATATTAGAGATCTGGAAAGGAGACCCTGACCCCTGCGCACTGGCTTGGCCCTGAGCCTCTAGGCAGTATTCTGGTGGGAGGGGAACTCTTACCAGCTCCAGTGTGGATGCCCTTGGTATACAGGTGGCTCCATCCCTTGGCACTCACTCTGTGGATATATTGATAACCAAGTGAACTCTCCAAGTGTTTTAAAATTTACTGTTCTCAGTTTCATGGTGCTGGGAACAGCTGTCCCCATAAGCCCTGGGAACATGAACCATTACTGGCGATAGGAGAAACAAAGTCCAGGGGGCAGCTGGCTGATTTAAGTGCTGCCTCTATGCAACTTGGGAAAGGCACTGGATGCCTGTCCCAGTTGGCGAAGAAACTGATGTGGGATGGAAGGAATGTCTCGATGTGCCAAGTAGGGATGCTGTGGAAGGAATACCCCCCTCAGCCCTGACCTCATCAGCTCCAGGGTGCAGCTGTTCACTCTTTCAAGTTCTCTCTTTAGGAAATAGCTATCTCCAACAGCATATGCTCTTGAGGGGATAATATGTAAACATTTCACTACTGTGTTATAACCAGCAGGAGCCACGTCAATGATGAAACATCCCAGATGCTGGAAAGGCTCCTGGCCTTCCAGGCAAATATTTAGCTCATGGAAACATGAGTCATACAAAGGAGTATGGATTAACTCCTTCTCAGCCACCAGGGAACCCTGCTTAACCCAGTCACCTGCTGGCTGCAGGGCTGATTCATGACCACAGGTGCCTACTGACCATTATGTAGGTGGTGGGTCATGGGCTGAGCACACAATAGGTGCCCAGTAAATACTTCTACCTGTTCAGGAAGTTCTACAGCTCAGGACTAACCGCTTGCATCTTCTCTGGTTCCTTAACCTCACCAGTTACTAACCCTGCAGTTAACATTGTCTCCTTTTCCAACCCCCCTGCAGGAAATGCCAAGGAACTTGCCAACATCTTGAAATACCATATAGGCGATGAGATCCTGGTTAGCGGAGGCATTGGAGCCCTGGTGCGGCTGAAATCTCTCCAAGGAGACAAGCTGGAAGTCAGCTCGGTGAGTGTGCCAGCAAAAGGTTGGCTGCGTGTGGCCATGAAGTCTCCCAGAGCACACCTCGCCATTCATACAACGTCTAAGATGCCAACTCAACCTCTGAATGTGATTTGTCCAAAAAAATGGGAAAAGAGAAGAGGCTCCTCAGGGGTATCAAGTGAGATTGTAGTTAGATATAAGTAGGAACTTCCAGATGTACGAGGAAATAAAACATCTGATGCAGAATGTGGAGAAGCCCCTTAGAAGGTGGGAGATGATTGCTTGTCTTGAGATATCAACCCCTACCCTCTTCTGTTCAAGTCCCCCAAACCCAGGGACTTACTGAGCTGCACCATAACCTGCATCTTAAGAGGCCTTTTCAGTTTTGACGCTGCTCTGTGGTCAGTTGTCTCCTGCTCTGCATGTCAGTGGTGTCACTGTTTTGGCGCTATGCTCAGACTGTCCCTACCTTGGAAAAAGAGAACACAGCCTGGGTCAGGGAATGTCACTGCTCAGAAGAGACCACTGGCTCCCCGCGGGTGGACATTCTTCAGTGTCAGCTGGCTCTGGCTCCCCACTCCTTTCTCTGATCCTCCGTGTCCCTTGCTTGCCAGTTCCCTAGGGAACACGGGAAGACACGTGAGAAGGAAGGCTGGGAAAGACTGAATCTAAACAGGTCACTGAGAGTCTCCTAGCACCTAGTTGGGATCCTGTCTGTCCCAGGCACATGGGCCATTCAGGAAAGCATGGGATAGATACACCTTGACTGGGCCTTCCTTCAGAAAATCTCAAGCTGAGCATCTGGGAAAGTGGAAGGAGCATGCTACGCAGAGTGAAGGCCTGGCTTCTTCCTAGCTGTCCCACCTACACAGCTAAAAGGAGGTGTGCTGCCTCTCTTGTGTCTCAGCTCCCACACGTGTTAAGTGAAGAGATAGTATCCTCCTTGCCCCACGCTGCTATGAGCACATGTATTTTGTCAGTTGCACTGTGCTGAGTCCACACAAGGCAGTAGAAGTCTGCAGAGGTCAGGAGCCGCTGCATTCACTAGAGTGTCCTCATTGTTTGCATACTGAATAGGTGTACGGTCCGTAGAAGCTAGCCAAAGGAGTAAAGTCAGTATGTCCCCCATTTAACAACTGTTGTCTCCACTCTTAGAAAAACAATGTTGTGAATGTCAATAAGGAGCCTGTTGCAGAAACCGACATCATGGCCACAAATGGTGTGGTCTATGCCATCAACAGTGTCCTGCAACCTCCAGGTGAGGCTCTACACTCTCTCCAAGACTCTGCAGCTGGCCCTGCTCCGCATGTGGCAGTTGGTGCACACTAGAAAAATGATCTTAAACAAAGATCAGTGTAAGGAGGACTTGTAGTCACACAATGCCTGTTGTGGATGGACTCTGTGGCTGAATAGAAAGTAAATCAGGAAGTGTGGGTTCAAAGATACTGCACTGCAGAACGCAGGGCATACTTCTTACTGAATTACCTGCTGTCTTAGCCCCACTCTGACATAACCCCATTGTGTGTGTGTGTGCGTGTGGATGTTGGTGGCAGATGGGGCCCGGGTGTTTGTGTGCGTGAGGATGTTGGCGCAGTGTTCCCAATTCTCCTGCTCTCCGGACAACTGAACTTCACTAGCATCTCCTGGCTCTGAGCTCTCTCCATGGTCCAGTTTCACCATGCATTATGGGAAGTCAGAGGGGGAAATTCGCTGGGCAGTGTGAGCCAGAAAGCCCAACAGTGCCTGTCAGTCGTGGCTGCTAAAGGTGCAATGCTAAGGGTTTCTCTCTCATGCCACAGTGGATTTTTTTTTTTTTTTTACCTCTCCAGCCAACCGACCACAGGAACGAGGGGACGAGCTGGCAGACTCTGCTCTTGAAATCTTCAAACAAGCATCAGCATTTTCCAGGGTAAGCTGCCTTTGGGCTGTGCCCAGCTGGAGCAGACTTGGGAACTTTGCTTTGGGCTATGGAAGGACTCTCCAGGCCTTGTCATCCCTAGATGCTCTCCCTACTCCTGCTGGGACATCCTCAGCACTGGTCTATGTGGAATTCAGGGGAAAGAACCCAGGCAGCTCCTGCTTCCATTGTAGGCTAAAGGCTAGGCCTTCATGCAGAAGTCTCCTAGCCTTAGTTCACCAGTAAATCCGTACTGGAGAGGGCAGCTCAGGAATCCATGTAGCCAAGGTGGACAGCCCACCCTGAAGTGGCCTGGCCTGCTGAGTCTTCAAGTTATAGGCTTCTATTTGCCATGGCTTATTCATCCTGGGTGATGCTGGTCTGGGTGTCCCTGGGCAGTATGTAGATCCTGAATACAGCACTACTGCTGTGTGCATAGAGCCTGTCTCCCCAGCCTCAGCCCTACCTCCACCTTGGAATATCTCTCACTTTTTCTGACCTTCCTCACTTGGTCCCCTATCACTTAGGGTGTCATGTAGGCACCTTTGAGTCAGGCAGGGCCCATGAGTACTTTGTAGAATGTTTGATTTCCAGAGAAGAGGCTACAGAATGCAGTCCTGACCCCCACAGCCAGAGCTTTAACATATTCCTCCACTTTTAAACAGAGAGATCTCAGTGTAGTCAGGAAGAGCTCTCAACTTACTCTTCTGCTCTAACTCCAACTCTAGGTTCTGGTCTCAGTGGAAAAGCCTGTCTTGAGTTCTCCCAGGAATGTCTACCCCACATATCAGACACCACATGAGAGGGGCTATACAGCCTAAAGCTGCTGAGGCTGCCTGAGGGGCTCTTTGGGGTCCATGGGTTAAACTTTCCCTTCCTATCTCACCTCCACAATTGTTCTGAGTAGTTTGGCAATGTGCAAAGCCCCTCTCCAATCAGCTTCAAGGACAGCGTCACTACAAAACCTTACCCCTTAGCCCAGGTAGAATAATGCATACGTACAATTCCAGCACTCTGGAGTCAGAGGCAAGAGGATCATCACATTTTTGAGGCCAGCTTGGTCTATAGAGAGAATTTCAGTCCAGACAGAGCTGCAGAGTGGCATTCTGTCTCAAAACAGGAAAAAGGGGAAGGGGAGAGGGAAAGAGAGAGGGAAGGAGGGATGAAGAGAAGGAAAGAAAAGGAATGAGAAAAACTGGGACTGAAGAGATGGATCAATGATTAAGAGCACTGGCTGCTCTTGCAGAGGACCCGGGTTCGATTCCCAGCACCGACACAGCAGCTGACTACCATCTGTCACTCCAGTTCCAGGGGAATTAGACCCTCTCTTCTGACCTCCGTTGGCATTGCATGACATGGGTGCACTTACATGCATGCAGACGATACACTCGTAGACATAAAAATATTTAAATATATAATATTTTAAAACAACAACAATAACAACCTGACCCTTTCTTGTGTTTTCTTTCAGTCTGCCCAGAGGTCTGTGCGACTCGGTAAGTGTGGTGTGGGTTTTCAGTCTCATTTGAGCTGATGGTCTCATTAGTCCTCAGCAGACCCAAGCTTGACATCTGTGTGTGCAAATAACAGTATCATGTGCTTAGTAAAGCAAGCCTGGCCTTCAGGGTCAGAACAGCAGGGTGAACTGGGGTCAGACATAGAAAATCTAGTTTCCTTCTCTGTGAAATAAAGATAATAAGAGTAACAGCCTATTAGTGTTGGTGTGACCTTTGGCTTTGGGAGCCTGGGAAGATTACACAGGAATTGACAGGAGCCCACAGGGAGGATGTGAGTCCAAGCTGATAGAGGTAGAAAATCCTGGAACATCAAATACTGAGTAAGATGTGAAGTGCCACAACCCCAAGTGCCAGGAGAGCATGGCAGGAGGAGGCATGTGGCCTCTGTCCTCAACATTCTGAAGCCAGGTGTCGTGCTACATAATCCCAGCTCCTTGGCGGTCTGAGGCAGGAGGGTTTCAAGTTCAAAGCCCAAGCTACAGAATGGGTTCAAAGACAGTCTGAGCAACTTCGTGAGACCTCGTCTCAGAAATACAAAGTGAAAAAGAAAGCTGTGGATGCAGCTCAGCGGGGACAGTGGTTGCCTAGCATGCACAAGGCCTTGGGTTCGATCCCTAGTACCATAAAACAAAACAAGAAACACAGATACTCCATCTTACTTGCTTTCATGTTTCTTTGTTTCAGCCCCTGTCTATCAGCGGTTACTGGAGAGGATGAAGCATTAGCAGGACCACAGAGGTGGACGCTGCCGCTTCCTGCCAGTTTCTCTCAGTTTGCCAAAGGGACCATTTGAATGTTTTTTAAACCAACTACCACACTTCAATATACATGAGCTATACCATATTGAGATCTGAGCCTTGTGGGGAAGGGATAGGGAGATAGGCTCTTTTTATGTTTTAATCCTCCTGAACATGGTTGTTGACCCACTGCATACACAGATCTGGCTGCCATTACCTGACGTTCACTTCCAGAAGGGACCTTTCCAAAGCATGGAATTTCCTTGATTGTGCCGAGGGCCTGGAAAAAGGAGCTGCAGCACTTTGGAGCTCACAAAATGTGAATCAAGTAATCCAGCACTCTGGGAATTCCTGGCGTGGTTTTGTAAAGCTCTTGTACAGCTGGAGAAATGGCATCATTATAAGCTATGAGTTGAACTGTTTCTGTCAAATATGTCTTATATCTACACTTGGCTCGGACTCTTCGATATGGCCCTACCCAGGTAGAAAAAGAAGAGTCTGTAGAACACGCAGACCCCAGATTTCCTGAGTGTGGTGGAGCCATGGTGTATTTGTAATAATAAAACCAAAGAAGTATATGCCTGTGTGCTGGCCTGGGGGTCAGGGCAGGTTCTGCTCCTTGGGGCCTGCATGCTCCTTCACCTCTAGAGCAGGTCAACAAGAAGCTTTGAGGGGTGGTCTTTGGGAAAATTCCAGCAACTGGCCCTTGTGTGCCGAGACAGTTTATCAGAGTCTCAGCCTAAGTCTCAGCTGAACTTGTTCTCACTTGAGCCTCCTCCAGCCCTGGGGTCCCGAGTTCTCAGTCTTCATGTCACCCAGCACTTCGGTCCTCATTACTCAGATGCTCCCTCCTTCCAGGGTTGAAATGCCATCTTTGTGCTGGACATTGAATAAGTCGGTGGTGACCAACAGTCCCATCACACAGGGGATCAGACCATGGCTCAAGAAAGGGAGAGCCACTGTAATAACAACCAAAATAAGTAGCCCAACAGGGGCTAAAGCCCACCTCCTGGCTCCCATCTGACAAGAGAGGAAGTCCTTTTTCAGGCTCTGCCTTCTTGACCAACCCATGGTCAATTCTTTCCTTTGACTTATGCATCTAGACTGTCCTCAGCACTCTCTGGCTGTGGTAGTGACTTTACTTTGTAGCAGAGCGATGGCCTGCTTCCTGGATCCATCAAAAAGGTAGGAGGAGATGGGCACAGCGCTACGCTTCACTGTTGTCACGCCTTCTGCGATGCCCAGATCCATGTAGCTGAGTCTTCATTTGGGTCTTTTCGAATGCAACCTGCTTCCCTGGAGAATGGAACAGTCCTGCCCACCCATATTCTACTCTGCCATGGTCAGCTCACTCCATTCCACTTCACGGGCCGTCTGACTGAATAGTGTGTCAAAACCACAACTCTGCTGGAACTAGAGTGGTGGATAAGGCAGGAAGCTTCTTCTCTAACAGCTTCTAATCTAGGGAAAGGTAGATTTACATCAGTCCATTAAAAGCACTCAGATGGGGCTGGAGAGATGCCTCAGTGGTTAAGAACTCACACTGCCCTTAGAGAGGACCCAAGTTCGGTTTCCGCTACCCATGTTGGGTGGCACGCAACTGCCTGTAACTCTAGCTCCAGAGGGTCTGATGCCCTTTTCTGTTATTTATGGGCACCTGCACTCGTATGCCCACGTACACACAGACACATACATACACATAATTTAAAATAGAATAAATCTTTAACAATTAGTCATCCATTCAATTCACAAATCTTTGCTGAGGGTCACCCATACACATACACACATATGCACATGTACACATATACATGCATGTACATGTTCACACGTGTATACACATTCACATACATGCACATATACATACTACACACATACACAACACACACACACACACACACACGTACACCCCAATCTTGGGCCCTGGGTAGCTAACATGTCTTTGATGTCACATGGCTTCCCTAATTAAGGGGAAGAGAATGGCTGCTCAGCTGATGGGACAATGGCTGACGTGGAGATGCTGAAGGACAGCACTGTGGCTCTGTGACAGGTAATGAAGGAACATGGGGAAGGGCCAGAGGGACGGAGGCTGGAACAACCACAGCAACCAGAAGTGGGAGGTGCTAAAGGAGCTGAAGCCCTAGAGAGTAAAGGTTATGCTGAGGGTACAGGCAAATGGTGTGTCAAGATGAGACACAGCCAGTGTGTGCACCTGGTATCATCGCTTTCCCACAGTTTGTCTGGGCTGCTGGGCAGTCCCCTGGTGTGGTACTGCACAATACCCACGTGAGACACCATCAGAACCCAAGGAGACCAACTAGCATGATTTTTAGAAGTTTTTAAATTTAAAATAAAATACAGGATTTCTTTAACATTGCCAAGGTGTGTTTAAGGTCTTTCCCCCACACCTGTCCATTTTCGCTTGCTCAGTTCTTCTTGCCCCAGCCCTTCAGGGACCCCACTCATCCCTAAACTCTCTCCGGAGTCCTCTTATGACTGAAACCCATAGGTAGCTCCTCTCCTAACCAAAGAGGATCCCCTTGCGCTCCCCACCCCCACTCTGCTTCTCCTGGAGGTTCAGGTTAAGCCTTAATCAGGTTCTGCTCTCTGGAGGTTGGCCTCTTAGCCCAGTAATCTGACTCTGGGTGTTTCCTGGGGTAGGTGACTGGGAAGAGATCTCTCTCCCCAGTATGTGGCTCTGCATCCCTTCCAAAGCCAAAGGCAGCCCAAAAAGGAAAGAAGCTCCCCTGCTGGAGCCCTGGCTCCTAAGCCTTCATCAAGACAGATGACCTAGGAGAGAGGAAGGGTGGTTCCTCCTGTTCACTCCTCTTGTTGCCTTCTCCTGGGAGTAGAGGGCATTCTGAGATACAGCCAGGAATACAACGGCGCTCAGCATTGGGGCCCAGAAAGCCTCCAATGGGCTGTGCCTTCCTCATAGCAGCCGGACAGGCTCAACCTGGCCTCGGTGCTGAGAGGATAGCCTTGCTGTTGGCCAGAGGGTCCACAGTGCTGAGCTCCACACCGATGTGCATTACCCTTGCTGTTTCTTCCACCTGTGCTATGAGCTACCATCCTCCTTGAGAGTTTTCATTTACTACTACAGATATGACAAATACGGAAGCTCAGAAGGGAAAAGGAGTGTGCCGCCTCACACAGTAGGAAGGGGCTCACCTCCATCTTGTTGACTCTAAAGCTCACACTCTGTGCTCACTACTCTGGCCCCTCTGCCCATCTGCACCAGGGTCTGCTGAAGCCTGCCCAGTCAGCCCTGAGCAAGCAGGACACAGGCAAAGAGTGGCCAGAAGGACTCAGAGTCCCCATTCGCCTACAGGACCCAACAGAATGGATCTCTGTTGCATAGCCTGGATTATATCTTGCCACCATGCTGCTGAGGGACTGGGATAGGATGAGCAGCCACAGCAACAGGGCCCTGGCAATGAAACATGGAGGAAAACATCACTGTGCTTGCAACCATAATTTAACCGTAGGCTTTGGAAGAGCTGCCTGGAACAGTGTGCTCAGAACTTCTTCAAAGCCAGGAAAGAAGATCATGGAATGAAGGATGGGTTCAATGCCCCACCCACAGATGTCAAATGGGGCCACTTCTGACCATCCTTGCCTGGCAAGAAAAGACAGTCACTCACTCCAAAGACCTAGAGAATCAGTCCAGAGACTAAATTGGAAGGTGATGGGAGTCTGGGATCCCCTGCACACGTACACACGTACACACACACACACACACACACACACACACACACACATCCTCTCCATACACACTTTCCTCTCATGAGTATTTGCACACCCACACACTCCTTCATGGATCTAAGAAGCCTGAGAAAGAGCCTCAGACACAGACAACTTGCACTCCTCACTGTTATAGCAAATGACCATCCCATGACCATCATGGAGCAGAAATAAGTAAAAGGATACAGTGCTAGCTAGGTCTATGGTGATGGGCCTATTAACATTCCCAAGTAGAAGGAAGGGGAAAGATCACAGGACCTTTTCCTGGGATTCTCCAATTACTCCGTCCTGCCTTCACCTCCAGCAACATATGATCTTGGGAAGTGCTAGAGTTTAGGAGGTAGAAGGTTAACTGAATGTGGAAGTCTACGATGCCGCTTTCAAGATGTCATCACCCAAGATAGAGTGGATCTTTCCATGATGCGGCTGTTTGTGAGTCATCCACACTCTTGTAATCCCTCACCTATGCTCCTGTAAGTAATCCCAATAAGTTCACTAGTTTACAAAGATGGACTTGAGTGGAATCATTTCTATTATCTGTTGTTGATTCCCTATTTGGGGTAAATAGGCATATGTTCACATCTCCCCAAGAAAAGTAACACACCACCTCCCTGGGAGGAAGGCAAACACTGAGGCATAGACATCCCACAGGTGTCTTCCCACTCTGGCTGCTTGCTTATGGAACAGAAGCTCCCAGAGCCATCTACCCCCGATCCAGTCATGGCAGGATGATGTGGAGAGGACAATGATTGAGAGACCAGAGAGGGACCAGCCTCTATTGGATACCTCCACAAGGCAAGCCTAGTCCAGAAAGCATCCTCCGAAAAGAAACACCAGCCTCTTTCTAGCCCCACCACAATGACATAACTGAACATAGTCAATCAAAATTAATTGACCTGGTTCCACAGAGCTGCCACACTATAAGCCAGCCCCACCAGGAATCAAACTTGACCAATCAAGACCACTCTTTATTTGCATGATGAGAATTGTATGGTAGGTCATCCTAACCAATAGCTCCAATAACCCCAGCTCCCATCTTTTGCAGGGCATTCTTCTGTTATTGGCCTGGTTTTCTGTACTTGCAGTGTACTAAAGAAACATCATTTTCTACTTTGATCTAATGAGTGAATTCTTTCACCAACCCATCACTCATGCCCAAAACTTCCTAAGAGGTGATCTGATTTTCTAACCCTTTGGGGCCAGAAGGTTCCTACTTAAAAAGTTCCTTAGCACCAAATCTTGATAAGTGAGTATGTATCCAGACATAACTATAGGAACCAGGATAATGGAAAGGAACGAGGGAGGTAAAGGAAAAGAAAGAATCTGGAAGAGAAGAACAGTAGGAAACAGGTGTTAATAATGAAGATATGGACAAAAATTGGATTAGTTGGAGGGAAGGTTATACAAGGAACCTAGGAGATAAAGGGAAATGAGCTCAAGAGAGGTATGACCATAGGAGAAGGGTATTATTAAGGGAGAAGTAGGGAAAATGGGGGCACCTTAATTGGGGAAACCATGATGGAGGGGTTAGACAATGTGAGATATAAATAATTCCTAGCTAGTTTTAAAAACCAGAGGGAACCATATTAGTCCAACAACTACAGACAAATTATACATACCAGATCAAGAAATATATGTCTAGGCAAGTGTAGCCAGAGTTCTCTCAGGTCTCTTGCCCATGATCAGACAAACCATGTAACGTATTCTTATGTAAATTTATTATGGTTTATGCCCTTGGGTAAGGAGGGGGTAAATGGGGGAAATTACAAAGAGACAAGCACTCGGTGCCCAGCTCTGTGCAGTGGCTCAGAGCCCACCACTCCAGATCGCTCCCATG